TACTCTCACTTATCATGTAATCCAGCAATCATACTTCTTGGTGCAAAGGAGTTTAAAATTTACATACACACACACAAAATAAAAAAAACAAACAAAAAAGAACCCCTGCACAAGCACGTTTATAGCAGCTTTATTCATAATTACCAAAACTTGAAAGAAACCAAGATGTCTTTCGGTAGGTGAATGGGTAAATAAACTTTAGTACATCCAAACAATGGAATATTTTTCAGCCCTAAAATGAAATGAACTAAAAAGCCTGGAAATGACATGGAGGAAAATTAAATGCATATGACTAAGTGAAAGAGGCTAATCTGAGCAGACTACATACTGCAGATGCCGGTTATATGACATTCTGGAAAGGGCAAACGATGGAGAAAGTAAAAAAATCAGTGGTTGGATTGCTGGGCAGAGGGATGAACATGCAAAGCACAGAGGATATTTATGGCAGTGAAATTATTCTGTATGACGCTACAATGGGGGTTACGTGCCCTTGTAAATTTGTTCAAACTCATAGAATATACAACCCCAAGAGTGAACCCTAATATAAACTACGGACTTTGGATGAACATGATGTGTCAATACAGGTTCATCCATTGTAACAAATGCACCACTCTGGTGGAGGGCGTTGATAATGGGGGCTGTGCATGCATGGGGCTAGGGGAATGGGGGAACCCCCATACCCTCCACTGAATTTTGCTGTGAACCTAAAACTGCTATAAAAAATAAAGTTTATTTTAAAAAATTAGCAGGCAAAAGGATATTGCATCTATAAAACAAGGACAAGGATAAGCCACTATAATTTAAGAATGGAAAACAAGAAAAAGTTCTGAAATGGAACAGGGCTATTATTACAATGAATAGGTCTAACAACCAAAAGAATGAAAGGCCACCAAATGCTAAGGAAGACAAAATTTCAAAACAACAATAACAAAAGATTGGAAATCATTATTGTGAAGTTTCACAATCCCTAGTATAGAAAAAATTAAATAAAACTACTATAGAGGAAAAAAAGATTACCTATTCAAAAAAACTGTATCAAACTAGGGAGAGACTTCTCATCACAACACTGAATATACTAGAAGACTATGGAGAAATGCATTCAAATGTCTGAGGGAAAAATCACCTTGAAGCTAGAATTATCTAGCTAGCACAGACAGAAATCAATTTGAGGGCAAAATAAAGACAGTTTGGGTCATTCAAGACTTAGAGCATTTACCTCCCATATACCCCAAATAAGACACAATGGCAAAAAAAAAAAAAAAAAAAAAATGACTTAAAAGTAGAAAGAACACTCAAAAGAAATTAAAGAGAAGCAACGGGTCCTTGACATTAGGACATTCTTTCTTGATTAGCAAAGGTTTAGAGACGTTGAATTTTAGAGACGTTGAATTATATTTTTTTTCATAAATCCTCATCAGTACTTGCTTCTCCCCTGAGTACAATTTACACAATCGTAACACTGTGCTGTTATTGAACTGTTACTAAGCAAAGGAAAGTTAGAACTATGGAGCAAGGCATAAATGGTCAAAGGTCAAGGTATAAATGTTCAAAGGTCAAGGTATAAATGGTCAAAGGTCAAGGTGTAAATGGTCAAAACATCAATAATGTGAACAAATATGTGCTCAAGAAAATTAGTAGATGAAAGAAATAAGGTTAGGGGTAAAATGTTCTAATTTCTCATCTTCCATAGCCATAGCCTACACATTTTGAACACAAACTGGATAACAAAGAAAAACATATCATTTGAAATCATAAACTATGAAAAGTAACTACACGTCAGGCATTGGAGAGGGCGAATGTGAAGGTGAAGTTTAAGATGGCAGAGCCTTGAACATAGTCACTTTTAAATTCCTATTTTAAATGGACATACTGTAAAATTAGCTTACATAAGGTGTCAATAAATGTTCCTTTTAAAATATTTTCTCTTTTCATGTTTTTCATCCTAGGGAGCCTCAATACAGTAGCAGGTGTATTTTATATAAATGACCAAAATGTAACAATATAAGTATGCCTCACATCTTGATCTCCATCTGTTTCCCTGTTAGAAAATTAAACAGCCTTGCAGCAGATAATCCTCTCACAAATCATTCTTTCGGATGGCCTCTGTGTGTGATATATTCATTTGCGCCTTACATTTCTTAAAGTTAGAGTGACCTCTTTAGGCTCCGCTCTTGGGACATCAGTGTTTTTCCAACACAGACTCTGTCTTTATATTCTGCCAGCTGACTATGAAAATCACTTGACTACAGTGAAATCTGGCCTTCATGAGGAGTTCAGGAGTTAACTGCTACTGAAAAAAAAAAATCTGTGGGAGGAAAAGTCTGTCATGGTTAATGATATGATTTATTGCAATTACAGAAAACTACCCTGATTGTTCAAATTGCGGTCTATGGGCCTCAGCCAGATTAAATGCCAGGCTGCAACTAGCACAGGGAGGTAATCAAATAATTGCCTTTGCTAAATAACACTGTTCTTAATTCACACAGCAAACTTTTTAAAGTATAAATTGATATGACATGATTGAGAAAAACAAAATACCAGGATTTTTAAAAATTAAATTAGGCAACAAAATGGATCTAATGTTAGCCGACCAAAACTGATTTTTAAGGCAATTTTTCTTGAAAGATATTTGAAATTTAGTTGTCAGAGCCAAAAATTTCGCATAACCCAAGTCAAGCTGATACAAACTACATCTGCCATTTGCAAAGCCAAAAAAAGCTCGTCATTCAAGAAATTTGAGGAAGAGAGGAAATTTGCAAAAATCAAGCTTGGAAAGAAGGAGAAAGAATCAAAATAGATGTATTATGTATGTTTCAATTAGATATTATCCACTTAGGAGATAATCTGCCTGAATAGATTTAAGAGAGAGGGAAGAGGCAGCATATTATAAAGTCAGTCAACCACCAACAATTAATTTGTTCTAGTTAAAAATTTAAAAAAAATCTGGTCATCTATATTATCAGTGATAGATATGATGACCAGAGTTGCCAGTGGTTAAACAATTATGGACGTGCTAATTTTTTTTTAGTCCCAAAAGAAAATGGAGCAAAGGGTAACAAGAATAGTAAATACAGTATACTTGCTATATTCAATATCTTCCAAAAACTCCATAAGATCAGTTTTTACATAACCCATTATCATTCCTAGTACATCCAGACTCAAGCATTTCCAAACAAGTACTAAAGGGTATGTGTTAATTACAGCTCCAAATGAGGGCATCAGAATCATAAATGGCTTCATATCATCCATCCCAGAAGCATGAAACTGAGCTTCGTTCAAAAGTTTAGAGATGGGCTAAGTTTCAGTTTTGCCTACGCTGAATTTACAATCTACTCAGGAAACAGAATGAATATAGAGCGATACTGCAAATAACCCACTCATGATTTACCAGAGGCATGTACAGATTCCATTGACACAAGGAAAATATGAAAATACATATACACAACTTAGACACATTAACGCACAAATTGATTTGAGTGAATGAGGAAGTATGAGATACAGATTGATCTGGAATAAGGTTAACTAACCCCCAAAGAGATGCTCTTAGACAATAAAAAAACTAGAAAGAGATGTGAAATGTCAGCGGGAAGGGTCGAAATGCAGATATCCTAATCTATTTTGGAAGGTTGGCCATGAAGTGGGGCGTGACCATAGCAGAGGTGTTTCCCTGAAGAAGCATGTGGCTGTCAGATCCTCTCAGAGAAACAAGAACTGAGCTAAGTAAGCAGGGAGGCTCAGGCCAAACACCAGCAAGAGAACAAGCGGCTGACAGGGACCAAAATCAAAATCAAAGCTTTCCAAAAGGAGAAACATAGATAAATAAATAAAAAGACAAAAATCAGAAACCAAAGAACAACACATTATAGAACAGAAGCTAAGGAAGACGAGGAATAAAGGAAATGCTCAGTTAATTTCAACAATTTTGCTATGAGCAGTTTTAAAAGACTGGACTTGTCATTTTCACAGTTAGGCATTCAATCTGGCATCTGTTTGGTTTGTTTTGTCTTCTCCTTCTCCCTAACTCAACATCCAATAGAAACAGGGACTCTGACAACACACAAAAAAGCCCCCGTTTTCTTTTGAAAGTTTCCAGGGTGAAAATCTGACCTTGGTAACTTTTCTCAGAAATGCATACTGTTCAGAAAAGGCATGGTGATTATTTCATCATCTTTCCTTAATATCACTATATATTTGTCTCTAAAAAAATTTGTTTCTCTTCTGTGTACTGGCTTATCGGTCACAGCTTCTGTATTATTGCTATTCTTTCATTCCTGAAATACTGTCAGATAATTTACTAATAAACACTGCCAGTTATTTAAAAAATGCTACCACTAGGGAGTAACCAAGAGTAAATATTGAGATTCTCTGTATACAGAAGAAAAAAACATTTTAGATCTCCCAATATTTAAGTTACTTAACATGTTTGGTTCACGCCAATAGTGAGCATAACACATTCTTATGTTAATTAGAAAGGTAGGTATCCCTAATATATATATATCAGGGATATATATATATATATTTTTTTTTTTATAGAAATATATTGGTGAATAAGCCACAATTCCTGAGTTTTGGATATAGAAAGCCACAAGAGAACATCACTCCAACCCTAATATTATATACAGGGCTGAAGAGTGGAGGTTAGTTACAAGGCAACCAAGTGAAATGAATTCAAAAGGGACAAATCCTTCCAAGGGGAGATGGCAGACACAATTAGGAAAGAGTTGGCAATCTTAAAAGCAGGCAGAAAAAAACAACTGAAAGATTAATACATTTTTAAAGACTAACGGTGGACTCGCATGACAGTTCAGAATCCCTGGAGCCCCAGACACAAGTGGAGTCCTCACCCACTCTCACCAACTCCTTTCTATGGGCCACTGCTGGGTACTTATCAGACAGACAGAAGGACGCAGGCAGGAAACGTGAGAGTATAATCTCACCCCCAATGGCACAGGACACAGAGCTTGACAAGGTGCTAATTAATACAGAAGGAGAAGGACTACCTTGGAAGCCCATTTGTGCTTGAGGCCTTGCATGAGTACAACCTTGCGACTGACTGCATCTGGAAGACAAGCACAACCCTGTCTGCAACCCCCAAAATTTACTCTGTTATGGAGCAAAAGCCCCTTAGGGAGGAACAAAACCTTAAGTAAACTCAGAACTTGACCCTCATTTGGCAGGAATGAACATCTGTCCCTGGGGGACAGGGGAGAGACAAGAAATTTCCCAAGCAAAAGTTGCCCACCACTAAAAGAGGGATAGAAAACCTATCCCTCATCCTACGCTGATACTACATCAAACGCACATGGCACTAGAAGAGGAGCAGACAACCTGTTCATGCCCAAATGCTGTAATCACAATAAAGCAAGTCTACTGATGCTGAGAGGAAACTCACTTATGTAGAAGACCACTCCCCAATGCAAGGCAGCGTTAAGCTGCCATGAAGGTAGAGAAAGGGAAATTGCCTCTGATATAAACATGGACTGTGAGTAGAAAGGTGAGATTGTCTGCCACTGGAGGAAGAAAAGGAATACTCAGAAAGTTCTGCCCCCGAAACTCAGGCCCACAAAGTCTGTAAGGCTGGGACTAAAACAGGAGTATTAAGAAATTACCCCTCCTCTCACTATACTATAGGCACTGCAATGAGTAACAAGCAACAATCATGCAAAGAGACATCCCCGTGACACAGGCTTGTAAAGCAGGGTGAGAGCTAAGGCACAGAAAACAGCAAGACAAAAAAATGATCCACCTCGAGACATAAAAGCATCAATAAAACCAGGCCCAGAGATGGCCTAGCTGTTTGGACTTTCAGCTAAACAATTTTCAATAACTATGAATAAAATACTAGAAGTTCTGTTGAAAAGGTGAATAACATGCACAAACAGTTGGGAAATTTCAGAAGAGAGATGGAAACTGTAAAAAGAATCAAATAGAAATACTAGAAATGGAAAACATAATATAAATGAAGAATAACTTGAAGGGATAATAGCAGACCAGACACAGCATAAAAATCATTAAATATGAAGATAGATCAATAGAAATTATCCAAGCTGAAATACAAAGAAAAAAGTAGAAGAAAAAAAGTGAACAGTGATATATCTTTAAAAACTACAGTATAATATCATAGGATATGTTTCTTTTAGGATTTATTATTCCACTTTTTTTTTTTTGAGACAGAGTCTAGCTTTGTTGCTCAGGCTAGAGTGAGTGCCGTGGTGTCAGCCTAAGCTCACAGCAACCTCAAACTCCTGGTCAACTTCCTCCTGCCTCAGCTTCCTGAGTAGCTGGGACTACAGGCATGTACCACCATGCCCGGCTAATGTTTTCTATGTATATTAGTTGGCCAATTAATTCTTATTTATAGTAGATGGGGTCTCGCTTTTGCTCAGGTTGGTTTCGAACTCCTGACTTCAAATGATCCGCCCACCTCGGCCTCCCAGAGAGCTAGAATTATAGGCGTGAGCCACCGCGCCTGGCCTATTCCACTATTTTTTAAATTGAAGCAGAAACAGATAGATATTCTCTTGACATTCCTAGGTGAATGATAGCAAACTGTACATACCTTTTCCACCTGACTTTTTTCATCGGAGATCACCCCGAGCAATGTGTGTGCACGCATGCATGTGCACATGTATTCTTCATATTTTCATGCCTACTTATAGTTGCAAAGTATTTCTCTTTACTGATGTATTACAGCTTATTCAACCATTCCCTTATTGATGACACTGGCTGATTTCAGTCTTCTGCTATTACAAATAGTGCTGAAAAGAATAGCTTTGATATTTGGCTTTTTAGATTTTTTTTGGGGGGGTTTCCAACTTTTTATTTGATCAAAACAAAAATACAAACAAAACAACAATAACGAAAGGGAAATCTGACAGTAAAACAGTAGGCCAACTGAAATAGCATAATAAAGAATACTCTTTTAAAAGGAGAAATTAATTTTATAAAACATGCATTATATATTTTTACTTTTCTCATTCTGCCTCGAAACCATGCATAACCTGTCATTCCTGGAACATGTTCTTGGATGGGCATTTAGAATCCAGATTTTTGCCACTGTACCTTCGGGAAAGAGTCCTGCAAGTATATAAACGCCTATATAATACTATTTTATATCCCCCAGCAATGTGTAGGAAGCTGTTTCCCCACAAACTTGCCAACGAAGTACACTGTTAAATTTTGAATTTTTTCCAAATGTAAATGGTAAGAAATCATATCTCGGTTTAGTTTTTAATTCCATTTCTCTTATTTCGATCAGAGTTGAGCCTCTTTTTCAGATGGATAGGACACTTTGCATCTGTTTTTCTGTGAATGGTGTACTCATATCTCTCGTCCCTGTTTCCTATATTCTTGGCCTATTTATTCTCTAACTTCAGCATCTCTTTATATACTAGAAAAATCAACTCTTTATCTGTATTTTAAGGTGCAAGGATTTTGCCACCATATTGTCCCGTGTTTTTTTTCCTATGATTTTTGATTTGCCATGCAAAAAAAAAAAAAAAAATTAACATAATAAAATGTATCAGCTTATTTCCTTATTGCATCTGAATTTTGAGTCTTTTGGAACATTTTCTCTGTTCCCATTGTAGAGAGCTATTAGTCCATTTTTCTTCTAATATTTATAAGGTTTTCATTTTTACAGTTGATCTCTGAATGTAAGCTGGTGTACATCTAAGGAATGGATTCAATTTTTTTTCATTTTCCATGTATCTATCCAATCTTCCCCACCACTTATTTATTCCAAATTATTTGAGTTGCCATCTTTATTGTTACTACATTTATATATGCAATTGGGTCTATCATGGATTTTCAATTATTTTCCATTGACCTGTTTCCTAATACAAACCTTCCTTAATTATTAAAACTTGATAATATACAGGACTGGTCTGGCAGGGCTCATCCCCCACTACCCATTCTCTTTTTTTCAAGATTTTTCTGGCTAATATTGATTATTCATCCTCTCAAGTGAGCTTAAAAACAATCCATATCCAGATAAAAACCCACGAAAATATAATTGCATTTTGGGGGATTTGCCTGAAACCTATACATGAAATTAGGAATAACTGACAGCTTTATGATTTTGAATCTTTCTAAAAGAATATACAATCTTTCCTTTTGTCCAAGGCTATTTATGTCATCTTTCAGAAACTATTATTTTATTTTTTACTATTATAAGTGGGGTCTTCTTTTCCATTTATCACCTAATTTGTTATTTTTATTTTTTATTTTTTTTATTTTTTTGAGACAGAGTCTCACTTTGTTGCCTAGGCTAGAGTGAGTGCTGTGGCGTCAGCCTAGCTCACAGCAACCTCAAACTCCTGGGCTCAAGCAATCCTCCTGCCTCAGCCTCCCAAGTGGCTGGGACTACAGGCATGCGCCACCATGCCCGGCTAATTTTTTCTATATATATTATTTGGCCAATTAATTTCTTTCTATTTATAGTAGAGACGGGGTCTCGCTCTTGCTCAGGCTGGTTTCGAACTCCTGACCTCGAGCAATCGCCCGCCTCGGCCTCCCAGAGAGCTAGGATTACAGGCGTGAGCCACCGCGCCCGGCCCCTAATTTGTTTTTGTTTGCATATACACTGGCTATGGTTTTTTTGGGGGGGTTAACTGACATGTAATAACTGTACATTTATGAATATACATAGTGATATTTTGATGCATACAATGCATAGTGATCAGATCAGGATAATTATGATATCCATCATCTGGAACATCTATTATTTCTTTGTGTTGGGAACATTCAATATCTTCCTTCTAGTTATTTGAAACTATGTAATGTATTATTGTTAACTATAGTCATTCTGCAGTGCTATATAACACTAGAATTTATTCCTCCTATATAGCTGTAATTTTGTACCCTTTAACAAATCTCTTTATATCTGCCCCTTCCCTTTAAACTTCTTAGCCTCTAGTATCCTCTGTTTTTCTTTTACTTCTATGAGATCAACATTTTTTAGCTTCTATATGAGTAAGAACATATAGTGTTTAATTCTCTGTTCTTGGATTATTTCACTTAACATAATGTCCTCCAGTTTCATCCATGTTGCCTCAAATGACAGGGGGATTTCATTCTTTTTTTATGGCTGAGTACTATGCCATTGTGTATATATACCACATTTTCTTTTATCTATTCATCTGATGTTGTACAGAATGGGAGGTTGATTCCACACCTTGGATATCATGAATAGTACTGCAATAAACCTAGGGATGCAGATGTCTCTTCAATATACTGATTTCCTTTCCTGTGGATAAATGCCCAGCAGTGGGATTGCTGGGTCAGAAAGTAGTCCTAGTTGTAGTTTTTGAGGAACCTCCAACACTGTTCTCCATATTGGATGCACTAATTTACATTCCCACCAACAGTATATAAGAGTTCCCTTTTCTCTGCATCTTCACCAGCACTTGGTATTTTTTGATAATAGCCATCCTAACTGGGGTGAGATGAAACTTCATTACGATTTTGATTTGCACCTCCCTGATGATTTGTGATATTGGGAATTTTTTTATATATATGTTACATTTGTTGGCCATTTGTATGCCTTCTTTTGAGAAATGTCTATTCAGATCAGTTGCCCATTGTTTTTTGCTGTTGAGACATTCGAGTTGCTTATATATTCTGGGTATTAATCCCCTGTCAGATTAATGCCTTGCAAATATTTTCTCCCACTCTGTAGATTGCCTTTCCACTCTGTTGATTGTTTCCTTTGCTGTACAGATGTTTTGTTTGATACAATCACATTTGTTTATTTTTGCTTTTGTTGCTTGTGCTTTTGAGGTCTTCTTCATAAAATCATTTCCTAGACCAATGTCCTAAAGCATTTCCCCTGTGTTTTTTCTACTAGTTGTATAGTTTTGGGTCTTACATTTAGGTCTTTGATCCATTTTGAGTTGATCTTTGTATGGGGTGAGAGGTGAAGGTCTAGTTTCATTCTTCTGCATACAGATATTCAGTTTTCCCAGCACCACTTATTGAAGAGACTGTCCTTTCCCCAATGAGCATTCTTGGCACCTTTGCCAAAAATCAGTTGGCTGTAGATGCATGGATTAATTTCTGGGTTATCTATTCTGTTCCACTGGTCTGTGTCTGTTTTTATGCCAGTAGTTATTTATTTTTCAATGTTAATTTTGTAACCTGCTACCTAATGAAATTTTATTATTGTTTGTAGTTGTTCTTCCATTGATTCTGCTGTGTGCTTCAGATATAAAAATAGAGAGGGTTTAACTTCTTTATTTCTAATAATTATTTTTCTAACAGCTTTTTCAATTGATTTCATTAGCAAATACCTTCAACACAATGCTACAAAGTAGTGGAATTATGGGCATCTTTGTCTTATTCTTGATTTTAACAGATAAAAGCTTCTCATTTCTTCCCATTTATTGGCTTTTGGGCTGAAGCTTGTTTTTAAAAAAAAAAAAAACAAAGCAATTTCTATTTGATTACTTTTAACATGAGTGGCGTTGAACTTTGTCAAATGCCTTTACTACATATATGTAGATCATATAATTTTTTCATCCTTAACTCTATTAAAATAATAAATTGCTAGATTCCCTAATATTCTTAAAATGAAACTTTGGTCATTATTAGTCATTTTTTAAACTTTTCTGTTGGAGTCTGTTTACTAATTTTATTTAAGATTTTTTACATCAATAGTAATAATCAAGACAGGTCTATACATTTTTATATAATCTTTATCAGCTTGAGGGATCAAGGATAAGTATGTTCTATAAAACGATTTGGAATGTCCTTTTCTCTGCTTTGGAATAGTTTAAGAATCCTTAATATCACCTAACCTTTAGAAGGTTCTACAGACTTTCCCCATGGCACCATCTGGGCCTGGTGCTTTTCTTGGGGAAGCCCTTTAAATATTTCCTCTATTTTCTTCTATGATAATTATTAAGCTTATAGTTCTGCCTCTAATAGGGCCAACGTTGTAAGCTGCATTTTTTTAAAATATTGTTATTTATGTTATTTATGCTTTCAGTTTTATTTTCATAAAGTAGTACAAAGAAGTCT